GTTTTCACAGCAGATTTAAAACTACATAGAGTTTTGTAGTTTAAAAAGACAGTTTCAGCAATTATATGATTTGTTAGGGTTTCTTTCTAGCATTAAGATGGGTCTATAAGAGAAAAGCCTCAGAATGTTTTTTATATTAGCAGATAGGTAGAATTGGGTGCTATGGAGTCTTGTGTTCTAATACAGTGGTCTGCAGAACAAGGCCTAAGTACATCTAACGTTGATATCACTTGTATAGTTCTCATTTTTTAAATTCAGAATCAAATATTATTGATTGCATAGTGTTATCCTAATCTAGTGTCTGCTGTTTTGCCGAAAGAATGTATACTAGTCTGACAAATTTTTCTCTGTTGAATCAGACTTGTTACTGTGGACTTAACTTTAAAAGTAGGTAAAGAATACGAAAATACCACTTAAATGACACATTTATTTTTCTCATGTTTTAGGAGGGTACTGGTCCTCGTGTTATTTCTGCTTTTGTGGAGATTATTTTTGACAATTCAGACAACCGGTTGCCAGTGAGTAACTGCTTTTTCTTTTCAGTAATAATGTTGAGAGTTTTAGTGATGCAGCTGATTTTTTTCCTGCTTTGAAACATTTATTTATAGCTGTACTTAGGCTTTTATAATTTATACTAAAATAGCTATACGGCTTACATGCTAATTTTGTCTTAAAGTTATAATGAATATTCTGGTAAAGAAATGAGAATATGCAAAGTATTGCGGAAAGAATATTTTTGTCATAGAATTGAGTATTCATGGCATATTTTTAGTGAGATAATTGAAATTTCAAAATAATTGCTTTGGTGGGGACTCTAAGGTGACCTTTTTAACTAAAAAGTTTCCACTTTTCCTATTAAATTTAACTTGGATCTTTTACATTTTTTTCTTAGATTGATAAAGAAGAAGTTTCACTTCGAAGAGTTATTGGTGCCAAAAAGGATCAGTATTTCTTAGACAAGAAAATGGTCACGTAAGCATTTTTCTTTATGTTTGTAGTTTCTTTACAAAAGAGTAAAAATATTCTGTTAACTTGCCTCATATGAGGCATATTTGCCTCATGTTCAACAAGTCTATATTGAGAGACTAGATACGAGAATCAGAAGAGAGATCTCTGAGACTGATAAAACAGATGATTAATGACTGTTCTACTCCGTTGTGCTCCTTAACTCAGGAGTTAGTGTACTTTTTTTTGCTAATTGTTGGATTGTTACTTATTTGAAAAAAATTTTAATTGTTTATCAACAGGAAAAATGATGTGATGAATCTCCTTGAAAGTGCTGGTTTTTCTCGAAGCAATCCTTATTATATTGTTAAACAAGGAAAGGTAAAAAAATAATGTTAATCTTTCTTTAATGGAGTTTATTTTCTGAGTTTCATTGAATGATGAATTTGGTGTGAGTCTAGTGGTTAAGTCAGAGCAAAAATGGACCTTACTGTCTTCTGTTTTCATTGATTTATTTTGCAGTGAGGTTTGTATTACCTTTTATGTGCCGTAAAGTACAAAACAGATCCATTCCATAGTGGGATAAAAGTATTTCAGCAGAGTTGTCCAAGTGGATCTTGTTTTCTTAGTAATCTATCACTTACCAAAGTGCACTGTACTGGAAGGCATTTTTGGTTTGTAGAAATCATGATCCTTTTTAAAAATACAGAAACATTATAAAAATCATGTTTGAAAAAGTTACTTTCTAAAGTTAATACTCTGTTCGTATATCACAGAATTAAAACGACCAAAAAATGTGCATTACCAGAAATCTACGATAATGCTACATATTATTTTCCTGCAATACAGATTATATTCTTGAAAGTTTTTAGGAGTTATATACTTTACCTGATTGTTCTACTCTTTCCTAATATACTTTAAACTATATACATCTGAAATAATTTGTTTCTCTTAGCACATACCATGCAGTGTCCTAATAGCTTTCTGTTGCACTGTTTTGGACTGGGGAGATGTTTTTTTTAAATGTCCCCTACTTATTTAATATTGGAGGCTTTTTTAGATATGTGTTGGAAAGTTTGCGTTCAGAAGAATTAATTAGGAAGAATATAGTGTTTCACTTTAAGAACAAGATTTTGAAAAGATTGTCTTTATAAGAGAAATTTATTTAAAGGAGACTGGTTTGAAAGAACAATTAAACTGACACAAATTCCATATAGATCCCTTTACATCATTTCAGTTTTTGCTCGTGTGTCACTTCAAATGAGCTATCTATGACTGCCTCTTCTACAAGAGCATTGTCGTCACCCCAACTCTTTATGCTTTATTTTCTTATTCTACATGGGTTTTTCTCATAGCAGTTACACTGAAATGGTATGCTTACTTCTGGTTTTTTTCCCCACTAGAATGTAGGCTTTTTGCAGGCAAGACCTGTCTTGTTCATTTCTCTTTTCCTAGTGCAAACTCATACTTTTCTTAAAACTGAGCATGTGAATACTTTTCAAGGTAGAGTTCTTAAAGAGCAGTCTGCAGCTCTGTAATAATTAGTTTTCTAAAACTTAGATCAACCAGATGGCAACAGCACCAGATTCTCAGAGACTAAAACTATTGAGAGAAGTAGCTGGTACTAGAGTATATGATGAACGAAAGGAAGAAAGCATCTCTTTAATGAAGGAAACAGGTAAAATAAATGTGATTCTACCTTATTTATTCTTCTTGTGAATTACTTTTTCATTGTGTTATGATACTTGAAAGGAGTTGTCTACTCTCGGGAGTATATTGTATGATACTTTGTCTATGTACTGAATGGAGAGAAAATTAGTTTCAGGCAGTTCAAGGTTTGAGATTTCCGTAATTTGTATCTTTGAATAAAGAAGTTGTCAGTGTGAGATAATAGTGCTTTTCTAGGTCATCTGTTTGGTGCTTCTAATGTCCTCCTCCTCGTTCGGATAACAAATTTGGATGTATTCCTCAAAAAAAATTTTTTTGGAATATCAGTTGGCATTAGATTTTAAGTTTTTCAGGAGCAAGTAATGTAATACTTTGAACTTAGAATCTTCCTTAGTACGTTTATTATGGAAACTCTACTTTGCTTTTCAAGTGCTACGTCCTCTCATGGCTTACAGTCAGACAGTCCTGGGTCCAAAATCTGAGTAATAATTACCTGATATTGTGACTTTAGACTTGATCTCTCTGGTCCAAAGCTTCCCCATCTGTAAAATCCTTTTTTATGGTTCGTAGTGGTGAATAGGGGAGCAAAATAGCACCACAATTGGACTATAGTAGGTATTTAGTATATAATAGCTGTAGAATAATGCTGTTATAAAAATTGAGAATCAGTGACATCAGTGGTATTAAGTAGGTTTTGTTTTTTGTTTTTTTGTTATTAGAAGGCACACTGGCTTTTAAAGGAAGCTTCAATTGAGACCTTTACTTAAAGGTGTATAGTAAAAGAATCAGTGTAACCATGTGTAAGTCTGTTCTTTGATGCTTTTCGTAATGAAGCATCTTAATTGCCATTTTAGTATCTTAGATTTGGTTACCACATAATATCAAAGAAATAATGATGTAGTTCTTAAGATTAACTCATGGTATATTTGAGAAGTGGTATTACATAAAAATTTTATTGAACTCCTTCACGCCTTTTCCATTTTTTTCAAGAGGGCAAACGGGAAAAAATCAATGAGTTGTTAAAATACATTGAAGAGAGATTACATACCTTAGAGGAAGAAAAGGAAGAACTAGCTCAGTATCAGAAGTGGGATAAAATGAGACGAGCCCTGGAATATACCATTTACAATCAGGAACTTAACGAGACTCGTGCTAAACTTGATGAGGTAAAATATTTACCTTTGCCACTTCAGATAAATTTTATTTTTAGGAATGTGTTAAATTCACACTGTATTTATACTTTTCAGTGATTTTTATATACAAACTTCAAAGTCTTTAAACCTCTTTGTGAATTAAATTACTCAGCAAATTTGCTCTTTCAGTTTACTCCAAAGAGCGTGCCTAGACCCACCTGGTCCTTGCTGTAGTTATATCTGAAATATAATCAGTTGGTGGTGTCAGGCAGACCAGGATGAGAGGAAACCACCTTTAAAGTTTTATGAACTGCTTTTCTAGCTTTTTAAAGTGTATTTTGTAGTTAGTATTGCTGACATTTTGTACAAAAATTTGTTTTAGGTAATGCTGAAAACTTTAGACATTTTCTGTTTAAAACCAGTTAAATTATTTTTGGAAAAACTTTTTTAAATGAATGCTTATTTTAGCAGATACTAAAAATTTTTGCTAGATACTACAAAATATGAAACAAATACAAAATGGGTTAGAAATCATAGCTTGGTTTTTTTTCCCAGCTTTCTGCTAAGCGAGAGACTAGTGGAGAAAAATCCAGACAATTAAGAGATGCCCAGCAGGATGCAAGAGATAAAATGGAGGTAAGGTTATAAACTAGCCTTAGATTAACTCATCTTTTTGACCCCAGTAAACTTTCTGTATCAGAATTATGGATTGGTAACTTCAAGTGGGGCATCACTGAAATTGAGTATTAGAAAAAATAGTACTGAAAGTATAAGTGAAAGGAAAAGAGACAGACCAGTGGTGTTTTGATTTTGCTGTTGTACATCTAATTGTCTGAGTTGTTTTCTGTCTGATACTTTTTGAATAGGATATTGAGCGTCAAGTTAGAGAACTGAAAACTAAAATTTCAGCTATGAAAGAAGAAAAGGAGCAGCTGAGTGCTGAAAGACAAGAACAAATTAAGCAGAGGACTAAGTTAGAGCTTAAAGCCAAGGATTTACAAGATGAATTGGCAGGCAATAGTGAACAGAGGGTAAGTTAAAATGCTAAAAATGAAAGACATGCATGTTCAAGTGAGTGGGAACTGCAGAGGACAGTCCTGTGAGGGGTGCATGTTTGAATTTTTGTAAAAAAGCCTGACATATTAAAATAATTTGCATTCAAGTTGCAACTCAGTACTGTCTTTGTTACTTACATTTAAAAGTTTTGTGTTGCAGATCAGTTTTCTCATGGATTTTTTTAACAGAAAATATTTTATGCTAGACTTACAAATTAAGCAACAGTTTTTAAGTGGATTGCATTTTTACTTATCTTGCTTTATTTACAGAAACGCTTATTAAAAGAAAGGCAGAAGCTGCTTGAAAAAATAGAAGAAAAGCAGAAAGAACTGGCAGAAACAGAACCTAAGTTCAACAGTGTAAAAGAAAAAGAAGAGCGAGGAATTGCTAGGTCTGGGATTTGTTTTCACCAACAGTTCTAACTTTCTCCATGGTTCCTCTGTAGAACCTTAAGTAGTTGTAGGTTAAAAAGGTACAGTAATTAAGGGCGTAAGTTTAATGCCCATTGTAATAGCCAGTGTTAAACAACTATTGTGGGCCAAGCATTACTGTATGCATACTGCCTATTTTTTCTACTCAAAAGCCATGGGAGAGCCACATTATCCCCACTATAAATTCGACAAACTTGAAACTCTAAGAAGTTCAATAACTTGTCTAAGATAACATAGCTAAGTGTTGTTGGGCTTTTAAAAACATACTCGATGATTGTTCTTTTTTTACCCAAATCATACCCTCCTGTATGTTCATTCTGCCACTTTCTTCTTTAAGTAAGTGTTTTTCTAACATACAGACATTAGTATCTATTTGCAGATTGTACTTGCTAACATTTGCTGACTTTACAATTTAGTACATTATGTTTTTATGCCACTTAAATTCGTTTTAATGAATTGCCTGTTTATATCCTTTGCCCATTTGTTTTCTGATTTTTTTCTTACTGTTTATAGGGTTGTTTTATGTTATCTGGGCATTAATATTTGTTCTGTATGTTTTAAGTGTTTTCTCTGTCTTTGTCTTGCCTTTTAATTTTTATAGTGTCTTACTGTGAGGAGTTGAAAATATTTATGTGGTTAAATATAGTTGGAGAATTTTTTAAAATTCCTGAGATGGGGTAGCAGAACTGTTTAGATTTACTGAGTAACCCAACCTGGAATGACCTTAAATCCTTAGGGGATGGGCTGTTTTACCTGACTTTAACTGATTTTGAAGTTAAACTAATGCTATATAGAACTAGTCCAAGGAGCTCTATTAGATAATAGTTACTTTTGATACTTAGTTCCCTTTTTTTGAATTTTAAAAATGGCTCTTGTCTCTATGTACTCTTGATGTATTGATTACAATTAAACTTGATTGTTTCCTATTCTCCTTTTCAATCCCTTCTCTTCTATCTTGTGTAGATTGGCCCAAGCTACCCAGGAAAGAACAGACCTTTATGCAAAACAGGGTCGAGGAAGCCAGTTTACATCAAAAGAAGAAAGGGATAAGTGGATTAAAAAGGAACTCAAATCTTTAGATCAGGCTATTAATGACAAGAAGAGACAGATTGCTGCTATACATAAGGATTTGGAGGACACTGAGGCAAATAAAGAGAAAAATCTGGAGCAGTATAATGTAAGAACTTTTATAGCTGCTTTGTGAAATCCTTCAGAAAAGTGTGAACATGTGCAGTTTCTTTAAGTTTTATTTTTAAATAGTTTACGTGCTACTCTTAAAATATTCAAGACAGATACTTGATTGGAAAAGACCAGGGCAATTTAATATTATACATATGGTAGTTCTCTTTTTTAAAGGAGACTTTTTTCTGTGTTGTTGAGTATCCATGTAGATTGAATATATTTTAAAATACATTTTTTTGAATTAGTAGTATGTATCTGAACTCTATCCTTAACTTTAATGTGATGCAAGTCTAAAACATGACTTTTTGGTAACTTAAAATTTTTCCATTTTTATATTCTAATGTAATTTCCTGTCAATTTAATAATTTACTGCAGAATTTTTATTACTGCATTTTTTAATTAAAGCATAGGTGATTTTTAACATTTTCTAAATAAAACATTTACCATGCACGTTTAGTTAGCATTTTCTTGAAAAATGAAGAAGATAAAATCATCACTTACAGCATAAGACATTTTTACATTATTAAAATGAAAAAGGGAGAAAAATGGTTTCTTAAGTGATGTGTGTGGGAATATATAGGTGATTACAGGATGATGGAAGTGATGAGAAGGGAGTGAGTAGGGCAGGTATAGGATAAGGAGAATATATATATATATATACCTGCCCAGAAGGAACCTTCTTACCCAATGAAAGCTGCACCAGTTGGTATCATTGGTTTATCCAAAAACACCACTAAAAGCGTAAAATCTTAAGCATGTATACCTATATATGTTTTACATTTAATATTTATATGTATTATTTATATGTATATAAACATACATATATATATCTTAAGTATTTAATTTTAAATAGATAAATGTATGCTTATATACCAGACCTTTATATTTTAGACTCTTTTTTTAGAGCAGCTTTGGGTTCTCAGCAAAATTGAGAGGAAGATTAAAAGATCTCCCATATACCCCAAGCCCCTACACATGCATAGCCTCGCTTGTTAGCATTCTCCACCAGATTGTGTACCAATCTTTTGATGTAAAGCCGAAGATACTTGTTTTGAATATGAGTAGTGATCGGAGTTCCTAGGGGACTTTCTTCTTATGAGCCACACTTGTAAATACAGTTCTCCTTAAAGTTGGATGAGAACAGAATTCAGGATTCAGTCTAAGATCATGTATTGCATTTAGTTGTCATGTGTCTGTTATCTCCTTTAATCTAGACCAGCTTTTCAGTGTTTACTTGACTTTGTGATTTGACATTTTGAATTACTATTATAAAGTATATATTATTTATTAATATATGCACTTATGTATTATTTATTATATATTATTTCCCCTAATCTTTTAGAGTTGATTTGCCCATTTAATCCAAATTTTAGTGACTTACCTAGAATGTGTCCAAAACTAAGTCAGTTTTTTAAAGAAACAACTCTTTTCCTTGTACTCGTATCATCAGTTCATCTAATATTTAATGTAATCACAGTTTCTCCAAAATAAAAACATAGTGGGGAGAAAACAGAACTGACTGTAACCATAAGCAACTCAACTGGTAGGAAAAGTTACCAGGAGTAACAGACAGCATATTGGCCTTGAGAGTCCAATGTGCTTTGGGCTTTGGTCAGGATATTTTATGGAGGGAATGGGAAACAAGAAGTTGAACCAAGTAGTCAGTTATTTGGGAATTTGTTAGTGTAGTTTTCTCTGAGATAGCTATAGTCCTGTCTTGAAATAAATAAAAAGCATTTTGTCATGAATTCATGGAAATACCGATTTCAACAGATGCCCTTTTTGAAAGAGCTTGGTGATTGGCCAAGATTTTCCAGTGAGAGGTTTTGTTTGTTGTTTCTCAAGTTGAAGTTATTTTTTTAATATTTCAGTCACACTTAAGGGTATAAAAATGACCACTTGTTAAGATGAACTGTGTCCTTTATAAACTGGATAGAAATGATTTTACAGTGCTAATTATATTGTGCAAAACAACCTTTTGCTTCTCAGTATATTCCTAAATCTTCTGTGTTCTGTACTTTCCTTCTGGGGAGAGCGCAGTACGAAAAGTATGCACTGCAGTGTTTTGAGAACTTACTAATGTATTTTTTTCTTCTGAAATTCTAAATTACGTATTATAGAAGTAAGTTTTAGATCATTAGTGAACAGATTATTTTGACATATGTATATACCTGTTAAACCATTGCCACAATTAAGATAAGCCTGTTCATCACCCCAAAATGTTTCCCATACCCACCTTAGTAATTTCTCCCTTCCTCCTCTCCTTCCCTCTCTTCCTCCCCCATCCCTTGGCAACATCTGGTCTGCTTTCTGTCATTGTGGGTTAGTTTACATGAAATTGGATTTTAAATTTGAATTTGAATTATTTTTTGTTTCCATAGAAACTGGATCAGGATCTTAATGAAGTCAAAGCTCGAGTAGAAGAACTGGACAGAAAATACTATGAAGTAAAAAATAAGAAAGATGAATTACAGAGTGAGAGAAAGTTAGTATAGGCTAAAATGTGCCTTAATATTTTTGAATAATGCTAGTTACTGGCTGTTAGATGGTCTTTAAGTTATAAATTAGCTGTTGAAGTTTAATTTCAGTAGTCAAAATTGTGTACTGTTAGTGTATTATCTTAATGTTTTTCAAATTAAAGAGTCTAATTTTTATTGATTAGCTACTTGTGGAGAGAGGAGAATGCAGAACAGCAAGCACTTGCTGCTAAGAGAGAAGATCTTGAAAAGAAACAGCAGCTTCTTAGAGCGGCAACAGGAAAGGTGGGCAGGTTCTTTTCATTACCTCAGTTTGCATTGAGTCGATTATTATTGCACAAGAATTTATTAGTTTTCAAGAGTACAGTCAAATTACTTGTCTTATAAATATGAAACAGTGGTTATCATTTAAGCACCCATGCTATTAGAGATAGCGCTTTTGATTTTTAGATGGAGAGTCCATTTTTAATGCTGATGTCATAGAACAGAACCCATAATGTAAGGTGTTGCATGTTAGTGACGTATTTCAAAGGGAGTGACCTGTTGTTGGAGAGGATGTTTAATCGCTGGTATATTTTTTAATGTATAGAGTAATGGGCTCATTTCTTACCAGCAGGAGTGCCATTGGCAGTATTTTAATAATTTTCACTTCTGAACAGGCCATTTTAAATGGAATAGACAGCATAAACAAAGTGCTAGACCACTTTCGTCGAAAAGGAATAAACCAGCATGTTCAAAATGGCTATCATGGTATTGTGATGAATAACTTTGAATGTGAGCCTGCTTTCTACACATGTGTGGAAGTCACTGCTGGGAACAGGTGAGGGTTTTTTTTTTTGTTTGTTCTTTTTGCTTGATATTTTGAGTTTTTAAGGGAAAGAAGGAATAAGTAACCCAAGGAACAATTTTTTTTATGGTTCTAATACAATATGTCTCTTGTTATTATCCCGTATACTCAGTTACTTAATTTTCTAATTAAAGATATAAATGCTAAGTGTTTGTTTTTAATTGTAGAAGGCAGAACTTTCTCCTTTTTGTACTTTGCCTCCCTCCCTTAGAATTTTCTAAGTAGCCCTCCCCCATACAAATTTGGTTGCATAGAATAAAAGTGAATTGTTTGCTTAAATGTTTATAGCACTTTAGATGGTCTTGTTCTGTTTCCCTGTAGGTTATTTTATCACATTGTTGATTCAGATGAAGTCAGCACGAAGATTTTGATGGAGTTTAATAAAATGAACCTTCCTGGAGAGGTTACTTTTCTGCCTCTTAACAAGTTAGATGTAAGGGACACTGCCTATCCTGAAACCAATGTGAGTTGATGTGTGTTAAGGTCTGTCTTTCTTTCATAGGTTACCTTTTTTTTGTGATTAGCATGTGCTAGTGCACAGGCACTGTACATTGGGAATCATACAATCTTAGAGATAAATATGCCTTTTGTACCATAGAGCATAGTCAGTGCTGGGTGAGTGAGGATGGGAAGGGAGACAGAGGTCACAGCCAAGACATAAAACAAATCATTGCAAAAATGTGCAAAGTGTTAAAATACATACGTACAGAATACTTTGAGAGTGTATTCCAGGGAGAC